ATGATATTTGCTCTTATATTTTATAGGACGACTAGTTTAACTAGTGGTTTAGGAGAATTTAGTCATTGAACTAGTGTTTCAGGAGAATCTAGTCATTTAGTGTATATAACTATCTCGAAGGTAGCTCTTGTATAAGGTTAGGCATAGGCGCTAGCGCTTTACTAATATAATAAAAAAGTTATGTTTTTCTATTGACGGAAGATGCAAGCTATGAAAACAAGTTTTTATTGTATGCCACTATCATGAGAGCTCTTTCGCTAAATGGATTCTACGCGGCCCAAGTATAGCAACCTGTATGTAATTATCATTGATAAGGATTGTTTCTTCCGAATGTATGCAACTATCATTAATGATTGCGCTTTTCCTATATGGGTTCTATGTGGTTTGAATACAGAAACTTGTATGTATGCTACTATCATTGATAGGTAGCGTTTCCTACGTAATGCGAATATAGTGCTTATATGTAATTATCATTGATAGAGAGTGCTTCCTCTAAATGAGATCTACGTGATGCAAATCTGAATTAGTTACGCTTCAATTGATTTATTACAAAATGATGTCCCAAAAGTATACCTTTTAAAACTAAGTGGGCTTTTCATATAATAAACTAATATTAGATGGGATCAAGAATGAAAATGTCAATTACCCTAAAAATCTTTTGGCCCTCTTGCAAAATTGACCCTTCATAGTTTGTTCCGTCCATATCCTAAAAAGGGTCTCTAAAAAGGCCACAAAATCCCCAAAACCCAATCAAATTTTCTTGAGTACAACAACAATGGCTGCCACTACAGCTGCCATTTTCACCCTTCCAAAGCTCTACAAATCCTCCATTAACCCAAAAACCATTTCCCTTTTTTCCCCAAAATCCACTCTTTCTTCTTCTTTTTCCATTTCATCTGTTCCATTCAAGGTACATCACTCAAAGCGCAACGCACAACCCCTTTCATACACCACTCCAAGAATCTCCGCCACAATCTCCGTCGGAGACAAATTACCCAATTCCACACTTTCCTACTTCGATTCATCTGATGAACTCAAGACCCTTTCCGTCTCTGACCTCACATCTGGGAAAAAGGTTGTTCTTTTCGCTGTCCCAGGTGCATTTACACCAACATGTTCACAGAAACATCTTCCTGGTTTCGTGGAGAAGTCAAAGGAGCTAAAATCGAAAGGGGTTGATACAATTGCTTGTATTTCGGTTAATGATGCTTTTGTGATGAAAGCTTGGAAGGAGAATTTGAACATTGGTGATGAAGTTTTGCTGTTGAGTGATGGGAATTTGGAGTTTACAAAGGCAATTGGGTGTGAACTTGACCTTACTGATAAGCCTATTGGACTTGGTGTTAGGTCTAGAAGATATGCTATGCTTGTGGATGATGGGGTTGTTAAGGTGTTGAATTTGGAAGAAGGTGGAGCTTTTAATGTTAGCAGTGCAGAAGATATTCTCAAGGCTCTTTAGAGGTTTAGTTGTGTTTTTCTTCTCTTGTTTCTTTCTTTTGAGGGAATGTTGATGATAATCATGAGGCTGAAATGTTGTTTTCAAGTGTTTGATTACTAGTCTTTGTGATGAATAATACAGATGTCTTCTAAGATTATGAACCTTATTAGTTAAAGCCCTTTTTTTTTTGTGTTTCCTGTTCTATCTATTTGGAGATTATGACTATATGTGATTCTGTTTTTTGTCTTGAGCCGAGGGCCTATTGGAAACAGCCTCTCAAGGTGAGGTAGAGGTAAGGCTTGCGTACACTCTACCCCCCAAACCCCATTCTGTGGGAATACACTGGGTATGCTATTATTGTTATTGACTATATGTGATCAATTTTTAAGCTGAATGAACGTGAGAATTGAGAGAAATTTTGTTCAAAGAAATGACTTGTTGAAACTTGAAATTTGTTGAATTTGGAAGAAGGTGGAGCTTGCAATGTTAGCAGTGTAGAAGATATTCTCAAGGCCCTTTAGAGGTTTCATCGTTTTATTTCCCCTCTTTAGAAGTAATGTTGATGATTCATGAGGCTAAAATGTTGCTTTCAACTGTTTGATTAGTAGTGTTTGTGATGAATAATACAGGTGTCTTCAAAGATTATGAAGCTGCTTAGTTAAAAGTACTGTTTTTGTTTCATGTTATATAAATTTGTTTGGAGATTATGACTGTATGTGATCAATTTTTAAGCTGAGTGAACTTGGGAGTTGAGAGTCATTGAGAGAAATTTTGCTTAGACAGATGAGTGCAGTTTGATTTCGACACTTTTCGCAAAGAAATGACTTGTTGAAACTTGAAATTATACATTGTAGAAATGTTTTATGCTTGTGGATGATGAGTTGTTAAGGTGTTAAATTTGGAAGAAAGTGGAGCTTTCAATGTTAGCAGTGTAGAGTTTTCTTCCTTTTTTTCCCTTTCTTTTGAGGGAATGTTGATGATTATGAGGAGGCGAACATCTTGATTTCAAGTGGTTGATTACTAGTCTTGTGATTGAATAACATAACAAAGATGTCTTCAAAGATTATGAAGTAATTAGTTAAAACACTGATTTTTGTTTAAGTTACCAATTTCAAAAAAAAAAAAAAAACACTGATTTTTGTTTCCTGTTCTTTCTATATGGAGATGATGACTGTATCTGATCAGTTTTTAAACTGAATGAACGTGGGAATTGGGAGTGATTGAGAGGAATGTTGCTAAGACAGATGAGTCCTGTTTAATTTCGACATTCTGCGCAAAGAAATGACTTGTTGAAACTTGAAATTATACATTGTAAAAATGTTTTATGCTTGTGGATGATGGGGTTGTTGAGGTGTTGAATTTGGAAGAAGGTGGAGCTTTCAATGTTAGCAGTGTAGAAGATATTCTCAAGGCCCTTTAGAGGTTTATTTGTCTTTTTTTTCTTGTTTCTTTCTTTTGAGGAAAATGTTGATGATAATCTTGAGGCTAACGTCTTAATTTCTAGTATTTGCTTACTAGTCTTATGATGAATAATATCGATGTCTTCAAAGATTATGAGGCTAATTAGTTATAAGCACTGGATTGTTTTTGTTTCTTGTTCTATCTATTTGGAGATTATGACTGTATCTGATCAATTTTTAAACTTAATGGACTTGGAAATTGGGAGTAATTGAAAGGAATTTTGGCGCAAAGATATAACTTGTGGAAACTTGAAATATTCATTGTGAAAATGTTATATGCTTGTGGATGATGGCATTCAATGTTAGGAGTGCAGAAGATATTCTCAGGCTCTTTAGAGGTTTTTTCTCCTTTCTTTCTTTTGAGGCAATCTTGATGATAACCATGATACTAAAATCTTGATTTCAAGTGTTCGATTACTAGTCTTTGTGATGTATTATACGGTCAAAGATTATGAACTGTTTCTTTTTTGTTTCTTGTTCTATCTATTTGGAGATTATGATTGTATCTGGTCCATTTACTTGGGAATTGGGAGGGAGTTTGCTATGACAGATGAGTACTGTTTGATTGTGATGCATGTAACTGGTGTCACTTCCCGGTGCAAATCCAGATTTAGTTCGGGCTCCAACTGGTGGGAAACCCGAAGAACTCCTTTTCTAAAGACTTTTGTGTGTGAATAACTTCTACTTAGTTTGTTCCTAAATTGCAGCAAAGTCTAGCCATTTCACTTGATTCAGTTAGTAAAAATGTCTTTTTGAACTGAATTTAAGTTAAAGACAACAACTTTGCAACTAATTGTACAGAATGATTTTGCAAATCAAACCACATAATGAAGCTACATTGATAAAGTCTCATTAGAGATAGGAATTCAATTTGATCGTGTAATTTATTGTTGTTTGAGCTTTATATTAATTTATTTGACACTTGAATAAGGTTAATTTGAGCTTACAATATCTCGACGTGACTATTGCAGCTTTTGAGCATGGAATAAAATAATAATACCGCGTTCGAAACTGTAATTGTATCCTTCAATTTTTTATAGGAAATTTGAACAATTTTGCACGGTTCAAAATAAATTCAGCCTATTTTCATAATTATAAAAGTAGCTCTGGCTCAACTATTAACGGAAGATAAATTCATAACAACTTCTTAAAACTTTAAGAACAAATCTGACATTTTTTTACTACATCTAGGGGTGTGTTCGTAGTTCGGTTTGGATCGGTTATTGGCTAAAATCAAAACCAAACCAATTTAGTCAGTTTTTAAATTTCTAAAACCAAACCAAACAATAAAAATAATGGTCGGTTTGGTTCGATTTGGTTCGGTCTTTTTGGTTCTTTAGGTTGAAAAGTAATAAATTTTTTGAGGACATACGAATTTCAATAGAGGCACACACAATCCTCAGGGAAGCTATTGTGGATTCAATGAAGTAATACTAGAGTTATTATTACACGAATAAAGTGATTTAATTAAGAGAAAGTGTCACTATCTTATGTGAGGTACGGTAGGTGAAGATTAAAGTAATGAATTTTGACTTAGGGTTGTAATAGTTGGACTAAAATTTAAGTGTTGGGTTTGAAAAAAATGATAAATCTAAAGACTTAAGTTAATTAAAATTTAATAAAATACTTATAATTTATTTATGAATAATATATAATAATTATATAAATTTTATATATAATTTATTGATTCGATTTGGTTATGTTTATGGATTTTTTTTAGCAAAATCGAAATCAAACCAAATAATATTGATTTTCAAAATTTAAAATCAAACTGAACCAAATATCAAATTTTTAAATCGATTTCTTCAAATAGCGGTTCAGTTTAATGTTTTAATCATAGAGAAACCCTAACTACATCCCAATAAAAGATCACGAGTATGTTTGACTTCATTTTTTATTTTATAAACAATTAAATTATCTAAGAAAATAAATATATTTATATACTATGTAACGCTTCAAAAGGTACTTATTATTTGCCCCTCCTCTTTTTTTTTGGGTCAAACCTCGAGAATATAAGGAGGAAAAAAAAACTAAAGGGAAAAAATTATTTGTCAAATTTTTAGCGATAATTACAATTTTACCATTGTATCCCAAAAATCCACATTAGAAAACCCCTCTTCAGCCGAAATCAGAAACCCTAGTTTTCACAATAAATTGAAATCGGGGCGGTGCTGGAGAAGAAGAAGAAGAACAAAGCAAGACAATCATGGCGGAGCATTTGGCTTCTATATTTGGTACAGAGAAAGACAGGGTGAATTGCCCTTTCTACTTTAAGATCGGTGCGTGTCGGCATGGTGACCGCTGTTCCAGGCTTCACACAAAGCCTAGCATCAGTCCGACCTTAGTTCTCTCTAACATGTACCAGCGTCCTGATATGATCACTCCTGGTGTTGACCCTCAAGGCCAGCCCCTTGACCCTCGCCAGATCCAGCGCCACTTCGAGGTATATATATATGTGTGTGTGTGTGTATATGTATGTGTTTATATGGATCTAACTATGGCGAAGCCAGTATTTTTAATTTATGGTTTCTGAGCGTGACTAGTAAGGTGGAAGCACAAAAACTAGCTCAGATACGAAGAAATTGAAGATTTAGTTACGATTAGAAATCATTCAATTGTTATTTAATTTAAAATTTTAGAATGATGGAATTGCTAGATTGTGCAAGCCGAATTGCTATTATCTGTTGCCTATGGTTGTGGATGAGTAAGTTGGAAGCACAAAAGCTAGCTCAGGCACTGCTATCATTAAAAAACATGTACTTGTGTATGTGTGATATTAGTAGGTTGGAAGCCCCAAAGCTAGCTCAGACACTGCTATCATTACATAAAACATATACTTGTGCGTGAACGATACAGTGTTCCTTCTGCTTCTGTATGTATATATGGATTGGGTGGATACTTGTTTATTTTTGTTTTTATGGATTGACTGTCTTAAGAAGTGCTATTATCTGTTGGGTTACTACATGATTATCAGAGTCTTTGGTTACAGGAATAGAACTTCAAACACTAATAAACAAAGAAAAGTTGAAGATTCAAACTAGTTATCATGAAGAAATTTTGTTTTTAATTGTTGGCTAATTTTGCTAGGTGCTGTTCTATTGTCCACTGGGAGGTTGGGAGCGATTTTTTTGTGAAACTAAAGAAAGTTAACTCATAACTGTGTTGCATGTTGTGTAGTATGCACAAGTTTAGCATTGTCATTGAATGGGTTTTACGGATTTGTTAAAAGTGAACTTGGTGTTGAGACCTCCACGAGTTAGGGGTAAGGTCTTGCGTACACTCTACCCTCCCCAAACCCCACTTGTGGGATTTCACCGGGAATACTGTTGTTGTTGAACTTGGTTTTGAGAGCTCGTATACAGACCGTAGCATTTTCTGTTTCCATCTGCTGCAAGAACTTAGAACAATGAAAAAGCAAAACAGTGTGTTGTTGAAAACATTAAGCCCTTTTCTTACATTTGTGTGCTGATGGGGTTTTGGTGCTGTGATGTAATTGCATGTTTAAATGGAATTCGTGTCAATTTTTATTCAAAAGACTGTTGTCCTCGTTTTTAGCTTCTGTTTTCTAGCTGTGGTGTCATCTTTGAGGAAATCTGAGGTTTGTTTTATGTATAGGTAATTTGTTTTTGAAGTTCCTAATGGGTAAGATAAGGTCTGCTTACATCTTACCCTCACTAGACTCCACTTGTGGGATTACACTCCGTTCATTGTTGTTGTTGTTGTTGTTGTTGTAAGTTTCTAATAGGGATCCTGTCCTAGTAAAAGTAGGTGGATTTATTATCCTGTGTTTCCTCTGATTTCGTGGGTATGAAATATGTGTGATCACCATTGAACATGCAGGACTTCTATGAAGATTTGTTTGAAGAGCTTAGCAAGTATGGAGAGATTGAAAACCTTAACATCTGTGACAATTTAGCTGACCACATGGTATGTCCACTTCTCTGATATGAACTTTGCCATAGTGATTTGATCTCATCTGATCTGAGTGATATTGTGCCTCTTTCCGCAGGTTGGTAATGTTTATGTCCAGTTCAGAGAGGAAGATCATGCTGCAAGTGCTCTTCAGAATCTTACAGGAAGATTTTATGCAGGTTAGTTCACTCATTTTGGTTGAATGATGTTTATTTTTAGTTTTGATTGTGTTAGCAGTTAGTTTTGGTATGGGTTTTCTGGTCAACTTTGTTGGTTCTATAGAAATAACCCAAGGAACTCAGTGTGTATCTTATACAAATATAAGTGATTTTTGGTTATATTTATCTCAAGTACAGCGCAATTGACCTGTAGTGTGTCTCTACTAGACAGATATCTTTCAAGCTGTTGCTCCCTCATCTCCTTCAATTTCTGGAGATTATGTACAGTATTATGCTGATGGTTGCACTTGTCAGTTGTTTTACACGTGTCAGTGTGTTTAAGCCTACATTATTTCAGTTCTTAGATCATATATATCCCAAATGAGGTTGAAGGAAATTTAGGTTTTGGACTATGGAATATTTTATTTTGCAGGGAGCTTAGTTTATTTCAAAGCGGATGCTATTATTTATAATGGATAGGAACAAATCAAATCCTTTTTTTGTTATATACTTTTGTTTCTCTTTTGTGCCTTAAACTCATTCTCTATGGCTGACAATCATGAAATTTGAAAATTTTAGGACGTCCAATCATTGTTGACTTCTCCCCAGTGACTGATTTTCGGGAAGCCACGTGTAGGCAGTATGAGGAAAATGTATGTAACCGAGGCGGCTATTGCAACTTCATGCATCTGAAAAAGATAAGCAGGTTTTCATCTCCCCATCCCTCCTTTTCCTCTCCTGTCACACAGACATCCCCAAAACTCTGTGCTTTTGACCTTGCTAATCTTGGTATTTGGTGGCTGATGCATTTGTGTTTTTTTTTTTGTTGAAGGGAGTTGAGGAGGCAATTATTTGGGAAGAGTAGTAGGCGAAGGCGCAGCCATAGTAGAAGCCGAAGTCCGCGTGGTAATCGCAATTATGAAGAGCCGCGCCCACAGGGAGGCCGTGGTTTTGGTAGAAGAGGAGGTGGAGGAGGTGGTGATCGCTACCATGATAGAGGTAGGAGGCCTAGAAGCAGAAGTCCTGGACGAAGGAGCGGACAGAGCAGAAGTCCTGGGGGTAGGAGAAATAGAAGTCCAAATAGGGAAGGAAGTGAGGAGAGAAGAGCAAAGATTGAACAATGGAACAGAGAAAAGGAAGAGACGGGTTCTGGGAGGAATCATGGTGGTGGGACACGTAGGGAAGACAGGGAAGGCAGTGCTGAGAGGAGGGCAAAGATTGATCAATGGAATAGGGAGAAAGAAGAGGCAGATTCTGCTAAATATGATAATTTTGATGCTGATAATGGCAGGAATGATGGTGGTGATCACTATGGAGAACAGTTTGATGATGATTACCCGAAGCAGCAGTAGGTAGAAAATGGAAGTGATGGCTGCTATAGTATTGTTGCTCTGGTTAGTGGTACTTCCATCGTACTTATTGTTTCACCTGAATGTCTTTCAATCTTAGTGGCACATTGCAGAAGTATAGCTCACTGTCCATTTTCCACTGTGCAGGGTGGAGTACAGGTCCACTGTCCTATGATTTTGAAAAAAGCATTACCCATCTTTTGTCTTCTTTTTACCAAATTTTTAAAGTACAGGACTTTGTTTAACAGGGATCATAGTGAGGCCTACTTAGGAACACTGCCATTTTTCCCGACTCTGATGCATCCGTTGCTTGCACAGTGAAGCTTGCAGTGCTCAATTTTTCTTGTTAATATTTCCAATGTCCTTTTTCCTGTCTCCTATTGACAACTATTTATTTCTTATATAGGGAACCAGCCAACAGTAATATAGCACCTGTTAATTGATATAACATCTTTTTAACTTTAGGGTCTCTGGTCAAATGATTTTTTTTCTTTCCCTGGTTCATTTTTCCTGAAAATGGAACATTTGATTAAAGTGATTGGGAGTTAAAAACATAGCCCTTCCAAGATTTCTGCCCACCTTAGATTTGTTAGTTGTCTACAGTCTAAGGGCTTCTCTCTTTCTAGGATAATTCATAGAGTTTGTCATTCTTATAAGATTGATGTTATCTATTCCAAGGTTTTGCAGGTTAAAAGGTTCCTGCTTTGCAGTGGTCGTGCCTACCTTTACATAGCAGCTTACAATGGTCTTGTATACAGGTTTTCTCTGCTGCAGACGAGTCCATGGGACTTTTAACATGCTAGGGATGACGAGAAGTGAAGGAACCAAGTCCATGAACCTATGAAGTTCTTTCCGTTTTGGAGTTTTACCATTTGTTAGGCATTACAGGTTTATATCCTCAAAGACAATAGTGCTGTGTATAACTGTACTGGTCTGTGACCTGTTGGGTTGAGTTTCATTTCAGTATTTAATCGTGTTTACTTTCAGTGGTTTGGAGGTTTCTGTTGAAACAAATTTGCTGAAGAGAGCAGGATTTTTATGTGGTAATTGCTAGACTGCAGTATAAACTCCTTTTGCAGTTCCTTTCATTTCATTTATGTAGAGCCATCTTTATATCATGTAGTCGAAATGATCACTGCATCTTCTTTCATGTTGTGTGATTCCGATGTAATATTATGTATTGGTGTGAATATAGGCTTGTGGCTTCATGACATGGAAGCTGAAATCATGAATGTTTGACATTGATAATTTTCTAGCCATTTTGAAGTAATGGTGAGAGAAAAACCTTGGAATAGATAACATCCTTTGCACCTAACGGCATGATTTGCAGTTGAGAGGAAAAGAAACCTGTGCTAAAAAAAACTAGATGCATCATTAAAACAACTTCATCACATAAGCATTTTCAAATGGGTACGTATAGCTAACTAACTCTTTGTTTATGTTGGAATGGGGTTGGGTAATGGACAATTACTTGACTAGAACAATAACATTTCCACGGCAATTCCACCGGTGGGGTTTGAGGATGGTAAGATATACAAAGATCTTATCCCTACTTTAGTGAGGTAGAGAGACCATTCCCGATGAACCCTTGGCTCATAAGAGAGTTATTCGATGTGAGATTGTACGAAAATAGGCAACAAAATAGCAAGATACAATTTCTCACATCATTCAATCTAATGATGTGATCCATTTTGACTCGTCCAGTATATAAGCAGCAATCTGCTGATTAAACACCTCTAATTTATCCCCTATACTTGCCACGAACTTGAATCATCACATGGTTGCTAAAGTAAGCTAAGTTTCACATAGCCGAAGAAGCGAAAAGACACTCTCACTTTGTTCGAGCTGAATTACATTCACCAAAATCATTCTCGAGTGGAAAACCTGGGAAATGAACAATATCTAAATAATTCTAATCTGAAATACAAACTATGAAAACTTAATTACTTGTTAATAGTATCTGTAAATGCGTTGTATATTTCTTTTGGACTGAAGATTAATAATAAAATAGAACTATAATTAACGATTCCGTACCACATCGTAAATACAACGGAAAATATGAACACTACTGGGCTTTTGAGAAATGTATTTACCTGGACGGGGTCAATGGGTGATCAATAAGACTTGTGGCTTAGGCTGGTGAATTTTATTGCACTTTAAAGGGTTCTAGCCTAAGGTCGGCCCAAGTGGTCAAGCCTACGTCATAATTTGTGAAAGATTCGCGCGGCCCCTGCCAAATCTTAGTCTAAGCATTTTGGCCCAATATGAATATTCTTTTGTTAATTTTTTTTAAAAAAAATGAAACTTTGTGTAAATAAAATCAAATTAGTGGAGTATTGTTCTTTTCTCATTTGTCAGCATCATCACTGAATCATAACTTAGGTAAAAGAATTGACGTCTCAACTAACAACTCTATTTTAATCTTAAATTCACAAGCACTCGAGAGTCGCAAGGCATGGAAAAAAGGTTTTCGGGATAAGATCAGACTCGAGAAATAATGTATTTCTCATGTCACGAAGGAATTTTGGCTTGTTTTAGAAAGAAATTGTGGAGGGAAAGATTTACGTGGTTGTTACTCCTACTTTTGTTGAGGTAGAGACATTGTTTCTCATTAGACCTTTGACTCAAAAAACGTGTAATCAAAGCAGTTATAAAAATTTTGTTTTAAAAGGTGATGATCAATGAAATTCGATAAAGACCTGACATACATTTCGACTATTTGAGAGAGGAGGATTAGTTCGAATCTTCCTCAAATAGAAGTTATCTAATCTCTATTGTCTTGCTATAACCTAATATTACTCGAACCGATAATAATTGAACAATGCTGAATTAAAAGAAAGGAAAAACATAAAGATGATTCTGATTTTTTGTTCTCTTAACAAAACCTATTGCTTTGAAAATACACTTTTGTTTAATAGTTCATAGTTCCATATAAATGTCACTGCGTAATAAAATTGCCCTCATATTTACTAGGATCACAAATTTTAGGATTATTTTGCTCAACCCTTATATTAAAAATATATTGTTTTTTTTAAATCATGGTGTCCTTAATATTATTAAATAATTATACACAATAATACTAATCAAATTTAAAATTCTGAATTAGAGTATCATTAATAAAATATATCTTTAGTTAAAAAAAAAACTATATCAGATCAATATGAGCCGAGTAATATGAGTCGAACGGACAAGATGGTTTGGGTTTTAGGAGGGGCGGGGGTGGGGGGGGGGGGGTTGGAACAAAATTAAAAGTGGTTGATGCAATGTTTGTTCAGAGGTAGCTTGGAAGTTGTGGCAGAATAATTCCAATGTATAGAGCCTTAGACAAGACATTTACTGTTCTTTCTTGTCAACTCTCCTCGTATTTATCGATTCTTTCAAATTTTTACTTAAAATTTTACTCCTATATATATATACACTCTCCTCATGTTATATTACTTGATCTTTATTAACTTTGACGTATTTTTTAATAAAAATTTCTAATAATATTTTATTTTTCTTAGTCAATATTAAGTGAATTATTGAGGTATAACATACTTCTTTTAAAAATATATTTGAGGACATAAAATAGACGCTATTTTTCACTAATATATTTTTTTTGATTATTTTCAAATTAGTCCCAAGAAAATGTAAAGTAATTGAGAACCTCATGAAGGATAAATATAAAAAAAAAATGAACTTTGAATAGGCCACTTATTTTGATTTACACAAAAATACCAATAATTTACTTGAAATAGATTAGAGGGGGTACTAAGCTAATTTTTGTAACAATGTTTTGTAACTCTAAATTTTACTACTATTGCTCTTTTATATGATTATTCATTACTAAGGATAGATTGGAAAAAAAATATTTACTCTTTTAATGCTAAAATGAATAATTAAAATAGAATATTTATTTTTAATATATGACCAAATAAAAGGAAACGGACAAATTCAAACATGAAAAGCGGTAGTACCGATAGTGACGCAACAGCACTGAAGACCTGGACATGAAAAAAAAAATATATTTTTTAAAAAAAAACATAGAGATTAGTGAAATGAGTAATAAAAAATAGTTAAAAAGTTATTTTTACTCGTTTATCCATACATATTATTTTTTAAAACAAAGTTAAAAATATTGTAAGCATATGACTTTCATGAAAATAAAATCACATTTTAATTCCGAAAATATCAAGCCTAAATTGAAATTAGTAAAAGTTCAAGACATGAATTTAAAGTAAGTCCAATTTTATTGGGCTATTTCATTTAATGGGCCCACTATATTATTAGCTCAAGGTCCACAATGTGTTAACTAACATGGCACGCCAAGTCAAAATAAAGATTGTTAAGATTATGTCATGTGCGTAAATGATGCAAGAAATTTAGTCAATATAAGATTAATTAAAGTCATTAAATGTCTAAAATGACATATTTTAACTAATCAAATATGATTTAATAATCAGATAATTTGTTATAGATTTGATGACTTACACGTATTATTTAAAATTAAGCAAAACATCTCATATATTACTGAATTATCTATACTCTACAATTATAAATAGGGGTACTACATAACTCTTTTGTCTCATCCAAAATTAGAGAGGAGGACCATAAATTTTAGAAGGCATCCACAATGTAGTCATAAGATCATAAGTTTTTCTCTTTATCAATGATACGTATCAACAAATCTTTCTTTAGTGGTGATCCAAAAGTCCTTCCCAAATCAAGAAGGCATTTATATTTAAGATTTTTTACTCCGAAATTAATGAGGCATTGGTATAAAAATGGGCCAACTACTCCCTCCGACCATTTCTACTTGTTCTTTTCAATTTTACACATCCCTTTAAAAAGTAATAATTGATACCTGTATTTTACCACAATATTTATACTAATTTATATATATATGCTTAGCTTTTAGAAAATGGTGAGGACCTCTTGAAAATAATCTATCTACCTTTCCGAGGTAGTAGTAACACCTGCGTACACTCTATCCCTTCCCTGACTCCATTTTATGAGATTTTAATAAATATGTTATTATTATTGTTAATATGCGCAATTCATAATATTTGTAATAAGTTTTATAAATTAGTTAACCAAAAATAATAAATGAAGATAATTGTTCTTTCCAATAGTTCTTGTTCTTGATAAGAACAAAAGAAACTTAATAAGAAGGGCAATACGAAAGGAAATTGCTAATTATGATAACAATTTTATATACTATGCTCAACTCCAAAATTAGCAAGTTTTAGAGTACTTAGAAAAGTCGAACTGTTTTTTTTTTTTTTAAAGTTACATATATTATTTGTGTGAATTCGATTTTTCATATTAAGTTTTTCTCAAAGAAGTTGTGTGGAAAATATATTTTCAAATTAAAGTGTTTTGCAAGGTGAGAAATGAAAATATTATTGTCTAGTATCATTATTTATGAAATAATAACATTCTTATCAATGTTACGTGTGCTATTTGTTCTTCGCATAAAAAGTATATTTTTTTAATTTACGTTACATGCACTTTTTGTCATTTGCATAAAAAGCAGAAGGAATTTCATCTTAAAAAGATTATGAAATTAAAAAAGTGAGATAACATATAAATTGTCCAGAATCTTGTCCCACTTTAACTTGTAGTATGATAATAGCATGTATGATCAAGTTTCAACAAGCTAAGAGTGATAGTTTCTCTTTAAAATGTATATTTCTTTTAATCATTAAATTGTTTAGCTAAGTTTTAAGAAAAAATATTTTTATAATAGTAAAAGTAATTTTTGAAGTTTCTCGATATGAAGTGAAAATTGAGGATTGCTCAATAAAAAGAAGCGTCAAATGATTTGGACAATTATCACGCTAGCAAAATTAGAAGCCTCTAAAAAAGATTTAAGCACATAATGTTCTAATATTATTAAAATCAAATTTCAAATTAATTAGTCAATACAAATTTTTATTTTATTTTACATTTTTTTTAATTAAATTATTTTTAAAAATAATTGACTTTAAAAGATTGATCAAACAAACTATAAGACAAGATATCACTTTTCGATTACGATAGTACCAAAAAGTTAATGCGACAGTTAGAACAACAATAACAACAACAATGATTGTGTTGTCT